CAAGTGTGGCACAGGCATACCAGGGAATATTGTTCGGTTGTCAGGGGAAGGAAATTTTGACACCTGCCACAACGTGCATGAACTTTTGAGGACATTTTGCTAAGTGAAATAAGATGGTCACAGAAGGACAAACGCTGCATGATTCCATATAGGGGATACCAAGAGTAGTCAAATTCATAGAGACAGCAAGCACAGGGGGTGCCAGGGGTTGGAGGGAGGGAGCAGCGGGGGGTTGTTTAATGGGTGCAGAGTTTCAGATTTGCAAGATGAAGAGTCATGGACATCAGGTGCACAACAACACGAAATGTACTTAAACACTGTGGTTAAGTACACAGTTAACACAGCTATGTGCTTAAAATGGTTAAGATGGCGAATTTTGTGTTATGTGTACTTCACCACAAAAGTGAAAACGAGATGCACTGATTCCATTCAGCTGTATTTATCGGGCACTTCGTGTGTTCTCGAGACTCTTCTGTCCTTTTCTGGGATAGAGTAGGGACCACGAGAGGTCTCATCTTCATAGAGCTCATGCAGTGGGAACCACCGACAGCACTTGACACACATACAGTGAGAAGGAAAAGCCAGAACGCAGTAACCACTGTGCAAAGAACCGAGTGGTAGCACGTGACTGAGGCTGTCAGGGCCCCTCCGGGAGAGGTGTGACCCACCCCTTGGACGGGAAGGTGTTCAGCCGGCACGAGGAGCCAGCTGGTGGGGTCAGCCTGGCGTTTGGGAGGCACAGAGAGAGGCGGTTCCTGGCGGATGATGAGGAGGGTGGCGGGGCGTGGTGAGCGCTGGGCAGGCTGTGTGCCGGGCATGGAGAATGGGTTTCATCCAGTGCTCTGGGAAGCTGCTGCGTGGGCTTGAGCAGAAGAGTGATGTGCACTGGCTTATGTTTTAAAGGCTCCTTCTGCCTGCCTTTTGTTGAGGGGAATGGAGTCCTCCTCCCGGCTCTGTGTCACCTGTGCAAGTCCACGCAGAGGAAGATGCGTGTGCCAGGCTGGGTGTCGGAGCTGGCCCCAAGCTGCAGAGGGCTGCCCCGGCTTGGCTGCTGTGGGTTCTCCTGATGTGCTGCTGTGCCTTTTTACATACGTGACACGATTCTCCTTTGGTTGGGGCAGCAGTGACACAGGAGCAGGAATATTTTAAAGAACAAATTGCAGACGGAAACAGGTGGTGCCGATACCAGAAACCCTGGGTTTGGGCAGCCAAATTGGAAAATGGAGCCACTCAACAGAGCTGTGGTTGTTCTTAGCTTCCTTAACAACCATGGAGTGGAATGCAAATGCGGAGACGTTCCAGGCAAGTTCTGTTTGGAGGGAAAATGACATCAATTTTACTCAATTACCATATGAAACAGACAACAAGCCTTTCTCTGGTGACTAGCAAAACTAGCATAGTGTTGGGACAGTCGCTGGTTCTCACACTCCAGTGGGTGCTGGAAGCCAGGGAGTTGGGGGGGAGGTGTTCACCACAGGGGCCGGCTCACCCCTAGAGCCTCCGAGAAAGTGGGTCTGGGGTGGACTCCAAAACGTGTATTTGCCGCAAGTAACCAGGTGATGTTGGTGCTGCTGCCTTGGGGACCACACTCACAGGCACTGTGCTGGAGAGTAGAGCCCCCTCCTGTTTGGGGGTCTGAGTAGCAGTGTATGCCACCTGAGGGTGTCACCCGCAGGTCCCTGTCTGCCCCCCACCCCACCACCGTGTTCCCAAGTCGCCCAGCCAGGAGAGCCTCAGTGTGCTGCTGGCAGTGGGTCTGTTCAGCCCCCAGGCTGCCAAGGAAATGTGACAAACGCGGCCAGAGCCCTGAACGCTTGCTGGGGCACAGCCAGAGCTGGACGCCGGAGACAGAATTTCCAGACGATTGGCTGCACAGTTCCCTCTCCAGCCAGGTGTCTCCCTAAACATCATGTGGCCGTTGCCTCTAAGACTTCTCCTGAGCAGGAGTTTCCACGGGAAAAAAAGATGGGGAGACTTTGTCACATGTCTTTAAGGCTTGTGTTTTGTGGCTGTCAGATTTTCATCTGGCTTGCTGGGCTCGGCGTGGGGCCTCAGGGAGACCCTATCCTGTGTGCTGTCGGAGTGTGGTTGGCACCCAGCAGGTGACAAGGTACTTTAGCTGTGGTCAGGCTCTGATACCTGCCTTCCTGGACATCAGTGCCCTTGTTACGTGCCCAGGGGAAATGCCTCCTTACAAGCGTACTAGCAAACATGATTTAGAACATGAAGCTTTGTTTTTTTTTTAATTCATATTTTGAATTGTAGTAAAATACACATAACATGAAATTTACTATCTTAGGCATTTTTAAGTGTATAGTTCAGTATTGTTAAGTATATTCATTTTGTGGTCCAACCCATCTTAATAATTTTTTCATCTTGCAAAACTGAAACTGTACCCTTAAACAAATTCCTATTTCCACCTCCCTCAGGCCCTGGAGCATGAAGCTTTCTCCCCTTCCCCCAAATCCACGTCGCATCTCTTTTTGTGCATGTGTTCCAAGGGATGTGGCAGCTTTGGGGTAACAGTGTACAGAACGCCCGTGGTTCTGAACTGTCATCAGCCTGGCAAGGAGAAAATGGATGATTCTAGTGAGGGAGCTTGTTCCTGTAGTTCTGTTCTTCCTGAAACTTGCATCATGCCATACAGATCTTTTCTTTCCTTTTGTGGCATGTCAGAATAGCACTGAGGATTGCTTTACTGCATTATTTCTTTATAGTAATCTTTAATGTTTTTGGTTTTGGGTGTTGTGGGTGTTACAAGGCAGCGTTTAGATTGCACCTTGAAACAAAATACTGTGTGACTTGAATTTTCTTGCCCATAACTTAAGTTTTCATTTTTCCTAATTTTTATGTTTTCAACTGAAGTTTACCAGTTTGGGCCTAATCCTAATGCTGAATATTTCAGGAAATGTTTGAATTACAGCCATTGGGTGGTTCTTGAAATATCAAAACAAGGAAGAAGTTACGTGGTTCCCCCTTTCAACCCCAGGCTTGGGGATAGGTAATGAACACTGGCTGGTGGATGGTCCAGTATCAAAAAAAAAAAAAAAAGACAGCTAGTTTGTTTGAAATTATGGGAAAAATAAAAAGAACAGAACAACTGAATGTGTTCTGTTTTTCCTTGTGGGAAAGAATATTAGGTTACACAAAGATTTTATTTAACTTAAATAATAGTTTTCAAAGAGTAAAATTCAGGCGGTGACACAGCCACTTCCTCTGTCACGGAGATGCTCAAACACTGCGTGCTTGGCTCCTGACGCTGGCGGCCAGGCGTGGCGGCGTTGACCAGCTCTGCTTGGCCTGAGTTGACCCTGGCTGTGGTCGTCACTTGCTGCTGCTGCTGCTGTGCTGATAGCATGAATACAACATCCACTGGAGAAAGTTTTAATGCCCCTGCTAGAAAATTCTCCCTTCTAGGTTACGTCTGTGAGAAAAAACCAAGTCAAATACTCAGAAAGTTCTCATCTTTGTGCCTTCCATACCTTGCAACTGCTACCACCTCCATCACCCTCTCCACGTGCCTCCCTGCATCCTGCATTCTGCATATTGTGGAAAAGGAGCTCAACAGAGTCATGATGGCTGGGGGTCCTCAACTCCGTCCACATCAACTTGAGATTCCTCTGCCTCATTCGAGGTTTCCTTCCTTTTCCTCTTGCTCTGGAAACACTTTCCTTTGACTTCTTGATGCTGAGTTCTGATCATAAGAGGTGCAAAATTTTCTATAACTTTAACTTATTTCAGTGACAAACTTC